GTGACCCTCCCCCCCTCCCCGCGAAACGCACATCTCAAAGAAAAACACTCTGATCTTACTTAATTAACTCACCTTTTAGAATCACCGTTCTATGAGTGGACACAACATTAACCACAACATACTCATGTCCGTGATGAAAATCTCTGACCCAAAAAGACAATTCTAGACAGCCTTTCCCCTTCCTCCGCTCCTCCGCGGACACCTGCTTCTTGCAGTACGCCCTCCACTTGAGCACCTTGCTGTTCTTTCTCGAAAGGGAAGGCGCCCCACTGTCCATTCCTCTGAACTGAATGAAGTCAGTGCAGACCAAGTCCGGGACCTGACTTCGGAGCTCTTTTATCACTGCACTTTTCCATCCAGCAGGGTTCCGTACTTGATTACGACGCCATTTTTCACGTTCCTCACTAGTAAGCACATGATGAAGTGACCGTTCCTCTAAATGCCCAATAGGCACGTGCTCTAAAAATGTGTTCATGTGCACATATATTTTGGCTTTAAAACTAATCCCCTGAAAAAGAGTAAATGTTGTCTTGAAGCATACATCTGCACAATGGAAAAAAAAATAACGAACGAAAGAGCCCCGGACCGAGCGTGTACCCACAAAATTTTGACGCGCCGATAGAAATCTATCGGCGCGGCGCCGCCGGCGGCGCGGTTCTTTAAGGTCAAATGTTTTCGCTAAAACCAATCAGCAGACGCCTACACTGGAAAAGCAAAAGGTAGGACTTAGTGCCTCTTTAAGGTGCTAAATTTTATTGTCTCTAGAAAGGCTCGAAAGTGTCCAAAGGTACAAACATTTAGCACCTTTGGAGCATGTTGGTGCCTTTTCAGGGATGTAAATCATTAAGTACCTCTGAAAAGGCACGAAAGTCATTAACACCCAAAGAATGGCGTGGATTCCTTCCTCTGTTTTTTCCAGTGTAGGAAGGCAAATTAATTCGCCTCACAATACTGTGCACAAGTTTGTCCACTTTCATAACTTTTCGGGTAGTAAACATGATTTGATTATGAAATGTTAAAGCCGATGCAAATCGGTCGGCGCCAAAGGTCCAGCGAGGGCAAGCCGCGGCTAACAAGCACGTTACCGCTGCTTAAATTTGGCTTACAAGCGCCGTAAAAACGTCACACATAACATTTTTAATTATTATGAGCTCAAAGCTATACACTGCCGATCAAAATTAGCGGCGCACTTTTTCGATTGTGCATAATTTTTATAAGTTTTTCGAGCTAGAATGCTGCGCTTTGGCAGAAAGGAGTCATCAACCAAAATTTATCTTGAGGCTCACGAAGTGCGCAACCCCTACGCCACACGCCACCCCTCACGGGGAACGCAACCCAGAGAAGCCCTCTAAACAGGTCTAAAAATGTCATTGAAAGTGTTCAGAAGTGTTCGGGGGGCAATGGTGGATCGACTCACCTTTTTGTCCTCTGTCGGCTGGTGATCGAGAAATTTCGATCGGACAAACATACCCCCTTCCCTATCAACCTCCACCCCCTCAAAGGAGTGGTTTTGAGGATGCAAACTTCGTGCAGCAAATGCTTGGGGGACGTCCCCTGTACACGGCTCACTTTGTTTTTATAAATTCGGACTACCCTCGGCTGAACTACCCCTTCCAACGTGCAACCCTTTTTTTGAAAATCGGTCATTTTGAACACTAAGAGATGGAATCAGGGCGTGGTCAGGAAAGGCCCCTCTACTTCTACCGAACACATCCTTTCAGTAAAACACGATGTCATCATCTTCAACCCCTTCTGAGGGGGTGGCTACCCTCGGGAGGCAACCGCACCCCCTCACGGGGGATACATTGGGAACCGTTTTCTGAACACTTTCATTGACATTTTCGCCTTTCGGACCTGTTTGGAGCGAAATTTTCCCGCCTGTCCACTTAGGGGGCTGCGTAGCCCGTAAGGGGTGTCGTAACGGTTGCGCTTTTCGTGCGCCTCAAGATGAATGTTGATGACACCCTGCTCCCAAAGCGCAGCTTTCTATCTCCAAAAACTTAGAAAATATGCACAATCGAAAAAGTGCGCCGCTAATTTTGGTCAGCATCACACTGGTAAACTGAAGTGCGCAACTGCTTAACACTTGTAAGTAAGTGTGCAACTGTAATTTGGATACTTGCAAGTGACTAACTCTGTAGTTGTGCACTTACAATAGTGCAAAGTGCAACTCGGTAGCTGTGCACTTGCAAGTGTAGTACAACGGGAGTTAAACACTTGCAAATGTAGTTCTACGGATTTGCACACTTACAAGTGTTACGGAGTTGCACACTTAGTTTATCAGTGCATCGGAATGGGATAGAATGTAACACAGGCATTCACGAAGTGATTTCGAAAATTATCAATATTTCTGATCGACTCGCATATTTACATGAAGTCATCGCCGCTCGCGCGCGCCCCCGCGGTAGGACCACGGGGGCAAAACAAAAAGGGGAATGGGATCGCGAAAGCGTGGCCACACGGCAGTCCCAGAGCTCTGAAGGTGCAATAAAAACACGCTGAAAAGCATCGCTTTGCAATTGCAAAGCATCGCCTTGTAATTGAAAAGTAAATGCTTCGTAATTACAAAGGATCTAAATACTTCGCAGTTCTGCAAAGCCTTGCTTTGCACGAATTTAACAGTGTGCTTAGGTACTGATGAGAGAAAGTACTTACAGTTTCTTGATTAGGCTCTTCATTATCAGATGAAGGAGGGCTGGAGAAGTCAGAGTCAGACATAGTGTGTTAAGAATTTTTCAGATGATCACTCACTGCCGGTATGCACGACACATGCACCACGAGAATCAAGACGGAACTGACCAACAGGTCCGCCCCCGCCCCGGGCCCGGCCCGCCCCCGCCTCGTCTCCGGAGGGGGCATGCTGGCGGAGGGGAGGGGGTACACAGCAGCAGGGTGTCCCCCCTCCACTCACCCAGAAGGGAAAACGTCGCAAATGGGCATAGGTCGGAGTGATGGAGGGCAGGGGGGCCGTCAGCCAGGGGCGCAGGGAGTGCTTCGCGATAGGGGTTGCAAAACTAACCGAAGCGCCCCCCCCCCCTAAATTATCGATTTTCACTTTTTGGTGGTTTTTGCCGATTTTTCCCATAAGAGCTAATGCGTAACTTTAAACGCGTTGCGTGATCGGAAGATATTGTCCGAATTCAAAATAAAGAAATTGCAATTGAAAGACAACTTTTCCACATACCCGCCACTTCAATATCTCAAATCCTTCTTTTTTCGCTATCCTCTTCCTCTAGTGTGCAGCAGCGGGGCCGTGGGCGTGCAAGCACACTCGTTCAAGGGGTGCGCAGTGGGTACTTTGGGGGTTGCTGCGCATCCTCCGCCAAATTCTGGGGGTTGCGGCCCGCACCCCTGCACCCCACTTGGTACGCCCTCCGTCAGCAGGGCGGACAATCCGCGACCATCCTTCCCGTAAGGACGTAGCGGCTCGCGCCCCGCCGCCGCTGGCGGCGCCCCGTCCTCTTAGTGCTCAATGGTGTATTTCGATTAACGAAGAAGTGCATGTAGAACATAAACGTTTCAGATTGGTCGAGAGATTCCCGCCTCACACACTTGTAACAGCAGACCCAAGACAGGCAGACTGTGCACACTGTCCCCGCCTGCGGACGCGCTTTTCCCTGTGTGTATACATGGCTGACAGTTGGTTTTACAGTGTACCGCATAGTTCATTGTATGAGTTTTTATGACTCAGCCCGTACAGAAAAGAGGGTGGTTGAGTGAGGTATCGTGCTCGAAATGCGTGAGACAATTTTATCCGATTTTATCTCACCCAATCAGAGCGGTGTCCATGAGGCTCGCCCAATTGGGTCATATGCAACGAATTCTCCCTCTGAAGGAGTAAGATATCCCGGATCTCGACCAATTGCAGTGAGAGACATCACTTCCACTGGTGACAAACGTAAATTATGACTCAAATTGAGAAAGAAAAATATTCTCGCTCTAATGACAGCGACACTTTTTGTGTCACTGATCTCGCTCCCCCCGGGAATAAGATATCTGACCTAGGTTACGTGCACTACTGCACTTTATGTCAGCTCCTCTGTTGACGTGTCAGCTACATTTTATTAAGCTATATTTAGTCAAGCCACGGTCACGAAAGCGTGAGTGCGAAAAGGGAGGATTGGGCGAGGGGGAAACGGGAAGCAGGGGACAGTAGCTATATTCAGTTTAGCCGCGCTTACGCGAGAGCGTGAGCGCGAGAGCGTGAGCGCGAGAGCGTAGAGTAGGGCGAGGGGCAGGGGGCGGGCAGGGGAAAGGCGTCCGACTCCACGCTCTCGCGCTGTCGCGCTCTCCCGTGCTATATCAAGTTAAGAATTGGTCGTTTCCACGCTTAGCGCAGCGCGCGCTCACGCCGGCGTGAGGCGGGCGAGGGGCAGGGTGCGGGGAGGCAGCAGCGGAAGAACTGCTACCCAGTGAGAAATGCGGATATCAAATTGACATCAGAACGATATCGGACATCAGAAAAGTGTCGATTTCGGGCCCATTTTTGAATCAGTTCTGAGTCAGAAACTTGAAAACGATATCGTTCTGATATCGATTCGATATCGCTTAAAATTCATTTCGCACTGGGTAACCCCGCTTCGCCCGCCGCTTCCCCTCTCGCCCGCCGCGCTCACGCCAGCGTGAGCGCGCGCTAGCGTGGAAACGACAAAATTCTTAACTGGATGTAGCACTGTCCCCTGCCTCTCGCTTCCCCTCTCGCCCTAAATCCACGCTCTCGCGCTCACGCTCTCGTAAGCGTGGCTAAACTGAATATAGCAAGTGTGCGGGCGAACGAGAGTGGTAGGAGAGGTGTCCTCGCGACTTCGCGGG